CTGCGACCTCCTCACCGTTTATGACTCTGAAGCTTACTAACGGCAACAGTTTCACATATGGAGGGCGGGTCGGTCGTTTCCAAAATGTGGCTCTTGCCTTAGCGCCGCGCACATTCGCTTAGACAATTCACAAGAGCTTCACGGATTCAGGGCGGGTTGTTTTCAAAATATGGCTCTCATCTTAGAGCCGTGCACACTCGATGTAATTATCCTGGCGTAGGACCCAACCATATCAAGTTGTGAATACCGCAATTGTGAATATCTGATTCGGTGGAACTCCCTCTGGGGCTACGAAGCACTGCGCTGGGTGGGGGGGAACGCATGCGGGCGGTAGCATTGGGGCCGTCGGTGGAGCTCCCTATGTGGCCACGAAACGCTGTACTGGGTGGGGGGGACGCATACGGGCGGTAGCACAAGGGCCGCCGGTGGAGCTCACTAGGGGCCACGAAACTCTGTACTGGGTGGGGGGGACGCATGCGGGTGGTAGCACTGGACCTTCGGTGGAGCTACCTTTCGGCTGTACTGGTTGTGCGGGGCGCATGCGGGCGGTCCCACTGGGACCTTCGGTGGGGCTCCATATGGGGCGACGAAGCGCTGTACTGGGTGGGCGGGACGCATGCAGGCGGTCCCACTGGGACCTTCGGTGGGACTCCCTATGGGGCCACGAAACGCTGTACTGGGTGTGCGGGGCGCGTGCAGGCGGTCCCACTGGGACATTTGGTGGGGCTCCTTATGGGGACACGAAGCGCTGTACTGGGTGTGCGGGACGCGTGCGGGCGGTCCCATTGGGACCTTCGGTGGGGCTCCCTATGGGGCCACGAAACGCTATACTGGGTGTGCGGGACGCATGCAAGCGGTCCCACTGGGACCTTCGGTGGGCTCGCTATGGGGCCACGAAACGCTGTACTGGGTGTGCGAAAACGGGTGACGATGATGATGATGATGATGATGATGATGATGATGATGATGATGATGATGATGATGATGATGATGCTGATGCTGATGCTGATGCTGATGATGATGATGCTGATGATGCTGATGCTGATAATGCTGATGATGATGATGATGGTGATGATGATGATGATGGTGATGATGATGATGATGATGATGATGATGATGATGATGATGATGATGATGGTGCTACTGCTGATGATGATGATGGCGATGATGATGGGAGGAGGAAGGAGGGTAAGGAGGAGGGCGAGGAGGAGAAGAGGAGAACGCGGGGCACCGTCTCTTCAAAACGAGGGCCCAACACCACAATACGGTTGGGAAGCAATTGCAAAAGCTTCACAGACTGAGGGCGCGTCGTTCTCAAAATGTGGTTCTCGCCTTAGCGCGGCGCACATTTTTTGAACAAAATGGAAGAGTTTCACAGATTGAGGGCGCGTCGCTTTTAAAATGTGGCTCTCGCCATATCGCCGCGCACACTAAACAAATGCAAGACTTTCACGGATTGAGGGCGGGTGGTTTCCAAAATGTGGATCCTGGCTCAGCGCCGCGCACATTCGCATTAGAAAATTACAAGGGCTTCACGGATTGAGGGCGGGCCGTTTTCAAAATGTGGCTCTCGCCGTAGCGCCGCGCACACTCGCCTTAAACATTTGCAAGAGTTTCACGGGTTCCCATGTTCAACGTGCCAAACATGGCGTGCTGGAAGGATTCAGGATTATGCGGGTGCAACCTTTACGTTGATTCTCTGTGTCGCAGTCGTAGGTATGGCGTTCTGGCGCAATTCAGGATCGTCAAGACGCAGCAGTCAGGTTGATCCATGGCGTTGGAATCCCGGGAACAATGTCTTGGCATGCTTCAGGGTCTTCAAACGAGTGTCTTCCAACGAGGCAATTCGCGGTGTTGAAGTCCCAAAGATGGCCCTCTGGCACATCGTCAGGACGCAGCAGTCACGCTGACCCGTGGCGTGGAACTCCCGAACACACTGTTTTAGCGTGCTTCAGAGTCTTCAAGCGGTGGTCTTCCAACGAGGAAGCTCCCTCCATGGGAATGAAGCGCTGTAGGGGCCTATAAAGGGGGAGCTTGGAAGGAGGGTGAAGTCCAACATCGTTGATGACTCTTGGGTTTACATTGGTCCTCCTCCTCCTCCTGAAAAGCACGTAGCTGTGAGCGCCGGACGATTTACACACATGCATAACACGAACGCCACCCCATAGTTTCAAAACTCGCGCTAACCGGGGATCGTCCGATGGCGAGCCGCCGCCGCCACGGCCGCCTCCTCCTCCCTCGTGTTCACTCTCCCCCTCATCCTGTTTCCCCGCATCCTGCTCCTCCTTCCTCCCCCTCCTCTTCTTCCTCCTCCTTCCGTTCCATCATTCCTTCTCCCGATAAATAACATCCCCCTGTCGCACCCCGAGGCCCGCTTTTAGGGCGGGCCGGGCGTTTCGCCTGAGACTTCATCACCATTAATGGCTCTGGCAACAGCTTCACAGATGGAGGGCGGGTCTTTTCAAAACGTGGTTATCGCCTCAACGCGGCGCACATTCGT